CTACATAAAAAATGTGTTGCTTTGCCCCGCGAACCGAGTTATTAATTGTTATTGTTATTAATTAAAGTTGATAGATATCCAGATTAGGAAATCTATTGCCTCGATGGCATATATTAAACAAATTTTCTGCTTTACAGACAAATATTTAACCAAGACAAATACTCTGCTGTAAAAATAAAAACAAAGAATGTGATTTTAAAGCAGAGAATTTGTGTAATTGAAGCAGAAAATACTTATTTTAGTTTCAATTACATGTTCTCATGTCTTTCTATGGCCGCGGTCCGATTCACGCTTACAACGCTTAAAAATCATTTCATCCTTGTTGCTTGTCAAATGTTAAACGAAGACGAAAGATACTCATGAGCGTTGTTAGCATAAATCGGACCATGGCCTATGTCATCAATATGACGGATTTCCTAACCTGAATAGTGATCGACTTTAACGATTAATATCTCGGTCCACGGGGTAAAACGATACATTTTTTTTTTGCCAGATTCGTTCATTTCGTGCAAAAACGTTGTCGAGCAAATCTAATTTGTGTACATAGAAGCAGAAAATCACTTACGTGTTTCTCTATGCCAACGATGTGACAGATTTCCTGACCTAATCATCAGCCACAGAAAACAGACACGTGTGTGATGTGACTATGCACATTGCCAGTGCCACATTTGCCTCTTGCGCCAAAAATTCCAAAAGGACATTACCTCCACTACTTCGTAGCGTCGACGACGACGACGTTGACGACGACAATGACGTTTCTTAATATAAAAGTTTCAGATTCGTATATTTTGCGTCGCAATATCTCCGCTCGTAGAGCACGTAGAGAAAAAATAAAAACACTTTCATTATATATCCCGAGAGGTTGCAATCGATTGAGCACACTTAGAACTTGATCGGTTCAGCCCTTATTGAGATCTGATAAGATAATCTCGATCTGCCGCAACTCACCGGCTCGCATAAAGTAGCCACAGTAGTGGCGCTGCGCGTAGCTTAGCGCCGAGACACTACCAGTGTCTCCAGATTGTTTTGTTTTGATTGTCTAGCAAACGTCAAACCAACGATACTGCAGCTCCAAATGTATGAATGCTACAAATACCGATACACTTTGAATTAATCTACATACCTAAAGAGGAACCTTGATTCAAATTGAGTAAGTCGTTTTTACGACTTGCAGTATTGTCATCGCGTATTGTTTCAGTCTTATGGAAAGATTGAGCGAAATATGATTAAATTTTTGGGTCACCATCAACTTTCACTACCCAACTACCCGTGATGGTATTCGGGTTAATCCCAATCCGCAAGATGTTGAAGAGGCGCGAATTCCAGATAACGGCTTCCCTGACTAGTATCAGATTATCAGTTCCCTCAAGGGATCCGAAATAACAATCCTGCGATATATGTCCTTATAATTAAGTCTCAATGAATATAAGTGCGAGAAGCGATACACTCATTCTTAATTTCATTTTCCGGAAATTAGTGCTGTTAAACTTAATAATGAATTCTTACCATTAATAAATAATACAAAATAAACGTTTTAAAACTTTTAAGAAAGAAAAAATCTAGATATAAATATAAATTTGAAAATAATATATTTATAACATATAACGTTTTGTAATTATTACTTTTTAAAATATATTACAGCATAATATGATAGCCGCCAAGTGGCCGATAGCTGCATTAAAATGTTTAGATTATATATATATATATATATGTGTGTGTGTATCTATATCTCTATTTATCCTTAATCATATTTATGTTTGCATCACGAAAAACTATTTGGAGTTTAGAGTTAATCACCTGTATTTTTATGGTGCACACACAATCTAATCGTGAATTATGCTTTTAGGTGAACAATAGCGTGTAGAAAAAAAAGAGGAATTGAACCATCTGAGTGCGACATACGAGGGGGACGAAGGAGGTAGGGAAGTCTTGGAGGTAGTTAGATGTTAGAAGGCGCGGGGGTGGCTAAAGTGGCCCCGCCGCTGGGTACGGGTCCCGATGCCGGTCCCCGTATCGCAAACGCCTACATTAACCTTCACCCTTGTACCCAAGGAGGAATCAAACATGCCCTTCATAGACGACGAGCTATTCTGGTACTCTGACAATGACGGAAAGATGGATTTAACCCAGTGCCTTCAGGTGAGTAATCAGTAGTAGATTTAAAATTTGGGATTCGAAGAGATTTCTGTAATATTTATGAAATTTGGTAACGCCTGGAGTTTATAGATGTAAATTGAATTTTGTAAAATTTGATAAAATCCAAGAAGTGTATATGAACCTAGATTTAGAATTTGTGAATGAAAATGTGAGACCTAAGTTACATAAAACATCTGAGATACTCAAAATCTATGATTCATTATAATTCTACAAATGTTGTATAGTAGCGAAATAATATCTATCTATATACTAGTAATCATAAGATAAGAAAATTAATCGAATCTCTATCTTTAGCTTCAAATTTTCCGTGTTTTCAGCAGAGCAACACAGGCCAGTCGGTAGAGTTTTCTACGATGGAGCTAAGTGCTCTGGTAGGAACTCCAACGGCATCGAATGTGCCGGTGGAGGAAGGTGCGGGTATGTCCGTTGTTACAGGGGAGGAACTTTTCGATCCCCTAGACTTCCTACGAGAGCTCGAAGCAGAGGCCAGCCAACCCACCTCCACCACAACACCTTCTTCCTACAAAAGACAGAGGCACAATATCGCTGCCGCGAATCCTTTATTAGCAGGTGAATTGTATATTGTTCTTTATTCATATAACAACAATAAATCTTTTTACAATGTAGATGAATTGCAATACAAATAAAATGCTCTCCGTTTAGTGCGTAAATTCTATATTTATAAGCAAGATAAAATACAATTCTCGCAAGCAATACTCATACATATGCAGAATCTACATATATGTATAATCAAGTTTGGAAAAGTTACTTTATGTGTTATCTATAAGGTAGTTTTTAGTTTACCTTATACATATATATATATATATGTTTGTTATAGAAATTGAGTACAAAAAGTAATACAAAATTAGTGTAATGATCAAATATAATGTAAAATAATAAAATACCCGAACTTATTGTACTCAGTTTCTACAATAAAAAATAATACTTATAAGTAATTTGTAAAGTAACTTTCCTAATTCTATGTGTACTATATAATATATACATTATATGCATATACTATAGGTACAATATATAATGTACAATAAATACAGGATGTAACAGAGCGACCGTATCAAGCTAATTTCTTGAAAAATATGCATTTTTTTTTTAAATGTTTCAGACAAAAGTTTTTCAACTTCAAGGGGGATATAATATGGTTTTGCACTAAAAATTCATTTCTACGTAAAAATGAAGATAAGAGGTACAACAAGTCCGATGGCCTCGATCTTGATAAATGTTATCCAGGTCATGATTCTGAACAACATTCAAGAGGTTTTAGCCGTCGGTCGAACACCTTGGGTAATGCTAATGCCGGCGGTGCTGTAACCTTTAAGCCTTATAACTATACTATATATACTCGAAAAGTACTTAATGAAAATGAACTTAATTATAGTGTTTTGGAAAGCTCTCGAGATAAATTACAAGAATATGTAATGAAAAATGGAGGATTCCATTTAAAATATTTAACATGACGTTCCTCTGACCTTGACAACGTCACCTAAGGTTTATAACCAATGATGCCATATTATGTCTCCTTTGAAGTTGAAAAACTTTTATCTGAAACATTTTTCAAGAAAATGCATATTTTTCAAGAAATTAGCCTAATACAGTCGCTCTGTTATATCCGGTATAATGTATACATATACATTGTTCAAAAAAATTATGGGCAAAAATTGGTCAACTTTAATTAACGATAACTTTGTGAAAAATTATCGTAGGATAACGTTTTTTTTTTTTTTTTTTAAATTAAAGCTTGAAATCTCTACTTTAAGACGCTATATGGCCAGATTTTAAGTTTGATGCACCTCTGCCACTGTAACTCAAAAATATGAGGGTGTGTTTATCATATTGAAAATTGCAAAGTTTGACGGAATGCACGGACTTTGTAAAATTTTTTTCGGGAATACCATTTGCAGCGGCATAAAGTTTGAACTTTCCCCTTTAATTTAAAAAAAGAACCGAGTCGTTGCGATTTTTTTTGCAAAGTTACAACACTTTAAAATTACCCTTGCATTTTTTACATATGCGATATTACCAGATATGCACCATGACGCAATGTTAGTATAGGATTTCGATAGGCAACCAAAAATTGGCTGCTGCAACCAATTAAAAATACTATGCCATATTTTACCTAATTTGCTACAGTAATCAATCTTTTTTTTCAGTGTATATATCAAAAATGCAAAGGTAACTTTAAAGTGCTATAACTTTACGAAAAAAATCGCAATGACTCGTCTTTTTTTTTAAATTAAAGGGGAAAGTTTATGTCAAACTTTGCAATTTTCAATATGACAAACACTCTCATATTTTTGAGAGTTACAGTGGCAGAGGTGCATCAAACTTAAAATCTGACCATATAAGGCGTCGTCTACAATACACGGAGTAAGAAGTAAGAGTAAGAAATTGACCAATCACAGTCGAATGTGAGAAGATAATCGACTGTGATTGGTCAATTTCTTACTCTTACTTCTTACTCCGTGTATTGTAGACGACGCCTGACGTCTTAAAGTAGCGATTTTAAGCTTTAATTTAAAGAAAAAAACGCTATCCTATGATAATTTTTCGCAAAGTTATCGTTAGTCAAAGTTGTCCAATTTTTGCCTACAATTTTTCTATGCCATAATTTTTTTAAGCAGTGTATATACATATATATATTCAATATATAATTTATAAGGATATATAATTCTATATAAATGAAGTTAAAAGTAAAATGTAAATTTGCAAATATTTTGATTCTGCATTTTAGTCTTATTAGCATAATAATTAAAGTTGAGTACAAGCTGAGCCTATCTATGGGTTTATATTTTACTTTGTTTAGTAAGTATATCATAATTGCTTTCACAATTATGATTTTATCGCTTATATGAATATAGAATTTATACATTAATAATCGCGAAAATTTACATATGTAAGATTTTATTTGTATTGGATTTATTTTTGGAGTCACAAATATTTTTATTTTTATTTATTTTACTTTAAGTAAATTAATTACTTTTTGACATTATGTGTTTAGAAAAATTAGCAGCGCCTTCAACGCAAGCGTCTCCAACTTCCATCCCTTACGCCTCAAGAGCGGAAATCAAGACGGAAAATATTCAACCTGAGACGAGTAAAGGTAAGTGGTTAATATGTTGAATTTCATCCGTCCTGCTTAACATGTGTCGATATAGCAGAAAAATATATTATGTACCGACGGTGTGTTTTCTTCTTTATCGACGTATTAAATCCGCTGTTGATAATGTGTATTTCGTGGATACTTTTGTACCGCGAGCGCGGTGAGTTTTGCGTATAATCTTCTTTATTTTCAAGTGATCAGATCGTACCTCGATCGGTTAAATTGCTTTTCGTGCATGTTAAGAATTTAAATCGCGCGTTGAAAGAAAAACCGGCCAAGGTCCCGTGAATCGCGAGCAGACATCCGCGTTAGCAATAATTGCGCGTGTGTGACTCGTGTATGCAGTGACTCGAGAAAAAAGAAGAACATGACACGTATACGTGTGCGTACGGTGGCCCAATTCTTATAATTTACAGTCATGTTGTAATATGGCGCGCGCGCGAACGCAGTTTCACGCTCGTTTCACGATTTTGATCTGCGAAACTTTCTACCAAAACGTGGACATATCCGCAAAAATGACACTGTTTCACATACGTTATCAAACAGTGTGCGTAACTAATGAAAATATTTTCGGCGAATCTTGTTCACACTTGTGTATACACGCAAGTATATATGTAAAATGGCTTTATTTTCAAATGATAATGATCTTTCATCTAAGTCAGCTATATCGAATATTAAAAAAAAAATAGATGATTGCCGACAGAAATTTCTGTACAGTAATTTTATCAGAAATTACGAAATATACATTTATATATATTTTTTAATCCTTCAACTGCTGAATACGATACGTCTACGAATCTGATATTGATGATATTTGTGTCATACATCGTTTACATTCGTTCGAACGTGACAACTTGAACATACAATTTGTTTACAATTTCATGCATATAATTTAAAGAATACAATAATTTAAAAAATAATAACAATTTAAAATTATTATTTTTTAAACATTTCATAAACTTATATAATAAATTAAGAATTTCAGCTTTCAACGACATAACTTGTATCTGCAAAACCGTATCTATATATTTTTGTTCATTTTAATGAATTTTATAAACATTATAATTCGCAGAATGTATATTCATGACAATTCGATTTGTAAATAAATAAATGTATATGAATTCGGAAATTAAACAAACACTAAATTCTATAAATTTTTAATTCCGAAAAATATAATTTTTTCAATTTTTAATCTTCTTAAATGTTAAATTATAGAGATCTCGAAAGGTGAATAGATACTTAAAATTATACAGATTTTGCAATCCATAGATTTTATTAAAGCTTAAAAACATAAATAAAATAACAACGCTGTAAGATATCTTGTTAATAAAGTTTAATACAACAAATCTAATGTTAAATATTTATAGTTTTTTTCATTTAAGAATTTTTATCATTTTACACGCGGGACTTGATCACAGATTGGCTATTCAGATTTTTTGCAAGTCAATTTCGACGCGCGGATTTTGTCGAACTTTTGACGAGGCGGAGCCTTGCAATTTCGTCCTGACCGCAGGCCACGACGAGTAATTACGAGCCGTTAGAACACGAATTGAAATGGGTGCTCATCGTTGTTCTTTTCACATTTTTAGAAAGCGGTTGGAAAGTGAGAAACGAAACTTTCTAACAAAACTATTACAAATACAGTTCGAAATCCGCTTACGCGCCCTATAATGTTATGTTCAAATTTAAATCAAATTGTGATAAAGCTAGAATCCATGAAAGCGGCAACACTGTTGCTTTTCACGGCAGTAATCATTTTCTCCATGAAAACCGAAGTTGAATGTTTGATTATTTATGTTTTTTTCATAGGAAGAAATTAAGAGGTGGAAAGAAAGAAATAAAAAATTTTTTTATTTTTCCATACGATTAAATTTTATATCCATTATAATAGAATTATATTATATTAGTTATCATAACGATGAAAGAAATAAATTTTCTCTTTATTATTTTATTATTTTAAATTTTATATTTAGGTACATATATATATAAAGTTATCTTAATTATATTGTGTAATGAGAAATACTTACATGTATTCATAATAATTTTTATAAATAGAAAGAATATATACATTGATTCTTATATATATTTTGTGAAAATTACATTGTTCACAGATAAATTTTCCTTATAACAATTTAAATGAAATATTGATATATATTATATGTGTATATTACGCGAAATAGTTAAAAAAAATAAGTTAACTCTTGTCAATGCAGAATTTTAGCATTATCGTGTTTCACAAAAGAAGTTCTCGCAAAAAATGTGAAACGATTAGATAAAGTCTACGCAAAGTTATTCTTTATTGTTCGAAGGATGGAGTATAGTTCGAAAGATTTGAGGCGTTATAAGAAAATTCACACAAAAATATAAAAATTTTTACTGTTTAAAATTCGATATAAGTACTCGGATATGCATTAACAAAACGGTTAAAGAATCCTCTAAAAAATCCCCGTTGACAAGCAGAATTGAATACAATTTTAAAAGAAAATTTATATTTCTGTTTTTATTAAAGAGAGTATTCACGATTTATATTCATGCGCGAATTAGCTCACTTTAAGTCTCATTTGAAACTATGTTTCCAATTGGGACGCGAAAGTGGCGATCGGATTTAGTTTATTAAGGATATCCCGTGTTATCCGGCAGATTTCGATCGCGATACCTGATGAACTCGTTAGACAAGCAGAAGGAAAGCGAGCGCATGGCGTGTATGTGTACGCTAGTCTTCTGACGTGCGTCTTCGGCACAAGCATCACTTTCACCGGGCACTCGATGCGTAACGCGACGCAAAAAGCGGTTTTTCGTACCGATACGCTGCCGTTACACGCTCGATCGAACGACCGCGCGCGCGTATCGGTCGAATTATCATTTGCGAGCGCGTACGTGCGCTTTATTAACGTTTTCGTCGTTTTCATCTCCATGCGTCACTTTTTCTCGTCTCGAACGTCCGAGGTGGCGGCGAAGAAACCGCCCGCGCCGCGCCGCGCCGCGCCGCCGAGCGCCAGCTCGTGAAAACAAAAGTAGGGCAGATGAAAGTAATCTCGCATTAAACGTCGGAACGTGAATAACTATATAATTCACTTTCGGTTCGTTCCCCGTTACGGGAGCATCTATCGGTTCGGTGCAACATGCACGTTTCTTCAGGCGACTTTCCCGATTTATTAGACTGCAATAGAGACGAAACGATCAAAGTCTAATGTCTGTCGAACTCGTTTAGTCATGACTTTCGTAAAAAGAAGTTCTGCTAAAGTATTGAAAAATTTAACTATATGTAGATACAGATATGAAAATAACTTTGTGAGACTATCAAAATAATTATGTAGGACAAGCTGGTTGTTAGAACATCAAAACTTTTTGTAGCATTGTCAATTTACAAATACAAGTAAAATGCCTGTGATATGAGCTCCATGATTGTTAATGCGTAAATGATGCATTTATAAGTTTACAATATATAATTCAAAAATAATTGGAGTGTATTTATATCAAACGAAGTTAATTGCAAACGTTTCGGCTGTAGATCTAATCCTTCTCACTGCGGAAGAATAAGATATGTCAATATATGTATACATTAACGTTATTTATGTATACTTACTAAAACTACGGAGGCTCATATAGGTCGCATTTTACACCATGTCTAGGATTGTAAAAATGAATTATTTGGAATTTTTTTAATTCATCACGAAAACATGTTAGTGCACATATTGTGTAATAAGGTTGAAGGTTACAAAAACAGACAAATACACGCCTTGCATCGCAACAACAAAGATGTTTGTTTTAAGTATAGCTAGTTTTTCTTTTTTGACATTTATAGCTATGTATAAAATTACAAAATCAGAAGGTAATACTCCAGATTAGGTGACTTCCTCTC